ATGTTTCTTGAGCAGCAAATCAGCATATCAGAATGATTTCTGAAGGATCATGTGACACTGAAGACTGGAGTAATGATGCTGAAAATTTAGCTTTGATCACAGAAATAAATTACATTTCACAGAAAACTGCTATTTTAAATTGTAATATTATTTCACAATATTTTAACTTTTTTTTATCTGATTTTTTCAGAAATTGGTAAGCATAAATGACTTCTTTTCAAAAACATTTTAAAAAAATCTGAATTTTGAACATTAGTGTATGTTTGGGGTTAACTTGCTAGCCATATGGTTCAATGTGCCTTGAAGATGTCCGACAGGAGGTTTGCTCTGGGATGCAGAAGGCCATCAAGCAGAATCTAGAATATAACAAGCAATTTGTCACATAGCCAACAATATTCAGTATACAATGCCAGTTTTATCACAAGGAACCAAGCTAGAGCACAGGTGAAATGTAGAGAAGAGAAAGAATATGTATTTAATAAATATCCTGAACAGTTTTTATCAATGTTTGTTTACCATTAGACGAGATCAAAATGCGTTTGAACTGTACCCAGCGCTGATGTAATGACTTCATCGATTAACGGTAACGTTAGTGTATATTTAGGTTAAATTAAAAAAAGCCTATTTCCAATCACCCATTGAAAAAAGTTTTTTTTTGTAGTTCTATGACCCATTCATAGGTGAAAAATGCCACCCCTGCACGTGATAGTGAGACAAAACAGCACTTTTATAGTCATAATAAGTATAAAAGTATAAAAAGTTTAAGTTTTATAGTTTAAGATTTGGTGCTTTTTTTTACGAACACAACCCCCTTAGCCAATTACAAAGCCTTCTTGTAGACAGTATATATATATTCTATTTTATCTATTAGTTGACTTGACCCTCTAACACTTGCACTCTCTATTTGTTTTCTAACTGCTTGTTTTCTTTAAAAAAAAAGGCCTCTAACACTAGCTTTCTCTATTCTTTTTCTATTCTAGCCTATCTTGTTTTCTATATATATATATATATAAAACTTGCTACGTGTACTGCGTTGGGCTAACCACCGAGACTTTTCATAGCACATACATATTATTGCTCTTTTGTTGTTTTTGATTGCTTCTATTGTCGTCATTTGTAAGTCGCTTTGGATAAAAGCGTGTGCTAAATGACTATATGTATGCGTGTGTGTGTGTGTGTGTGTGTGCAAACACTGGACCGACTATTGGCTTGCCAGTGGTGCAACACATGTCTGCAGAACAAAATGAATAAACATTAAACATTCGACAAAGCTCAAGTTAAAATGTTTTGTGAGTCATTGTTTTTAAAACGTTCATATTCCACTTCAGAGTTTAAGTAGCCCAATATTCAGTGACAGAAGGACAAACTATATAAAATAATGAATAAAAATAAATGTAGTTACCCTTTTCCTCTCTGTGGGAGTGTACGCGCAGATCTCCGATTCCTCTAACCAAGTTTCAATATATATATATTTAGGTTAAATAAAAAAGCCTATTTCCATTCACCTATTGAAAAATGACCAGCAAAACTTTTACAGAACTGTCAAAGCCTCTCATCTACACATAAATATGTTATTAAAATACCAAACTTTCATAAAGAGCTCAGTCTATGGAGTTAGCATAACGTTACCTCCTCTGAAAACGGTTAAGATGCTAACGGACTTGTTCGAAGACACTAACCATTTCTATTAAGTAAATTCAACAGAAGCGGGTCAAATACAAGCAAGAGAAGTGTCAGAAACAGTTGCATATGATATTTGTGCGATTTCATGGACTAAACTTACCGAAAGCACTGAAAACCGCAGCGAGAGATGGAGCGTGCAGCTTTTCAGTGTTGTCAGTCGCCCCGTTTCCATGGCAACTCCCTCCGCTCCATAAACATTCGACAAAGCTCAAGTTAAAATGTTTTGTGAGTCATTGTTTTTAAAACGTTCATATTCCACTTCAGAGTTTAAGTAGCCCAATATTCAGTGACAGAAGGACAAACTATATAAAATAATGAATAAAAATAAATGTAGTTACCCTTTTCCTCTCTGTGGGAGTGTACGCGCAGATCTCCGATTCCTCTAACCAAGTTTCAACCTATATCAGACGTTATGATTTCGATCAGATGCGTCGGCTGTATCGGTTGATGAGTCAACGTGATTTTGACGTTGAATCGATGTTTTATTTTCGCCGAAATAACGTTCTGATGTTCCGACCAAATAGTGAACGTTGATTCAACATCGAAATTTGATTGACGACCGATACTGACCAGATCGACATTGAATCAATGTCTGCTTGCTATCTGGGAGAGCTTTGTGAAACTTTTTCGAGTCAATTGAATCGGTTGCATTGCGAAATGATGACGATTCCTGCTGCTCAAAACAGTGTAAATGCAACGAGAACAAACATTTGTGATGACTTTTACAAACCAACTGTAAATGTTTTCATGGAAGTGGAATCTGTTAAATGTGATCTACAAATCAAATACCAAATATAAATCTTAATAATAAAAATAAATTAATAAAACTAACTTAAAAGGGTTAGTTCACCCAAAAATAAGAATTAGGCTGCGTTTTACCCGATGCATCCTAGGTGTATATGACTTTCTTCTTTCAGACGAATCCATTCGGAGTTTTATTAAAAATTGTCTTTGATCTTTCAAGCTCTATCGTTGCACTCAGCGGGTGTTGCATTGCTTCTGTCCAAAAGACGTGAAATAAAAAGCACCTTTCCATTAAATAAAGTGTC